ATTACATCAATACAATCATAAAGAGCTATGTGAAGAATGAGTGAGTTAAGAGCGCGGGTATTTCTTCTTTATTGCCAGTCACTCTCTGTCCCAAACCACAACTACACACTAAGATGCGAACAAAAAATAACAAAAATATTATAAACATTTTTAAAACAGAGGTTTTCTGAAGAATCTTCAATATTTCTTTTTGATTGATGCAACCTACATTCTAATAAAAGTACAGGTTTAGGTTTATAAGCATTGTATTATTGTATCTCAATCACTTGTTTCTACCAGTTTGACCCACACTTCTTCGGGTGTGATAGCCGTTCGTTCACCGATGTTAAATTTGCCTTCGAGATTTTCACCGGGCAGAATCGTATACTTTCGAAGTAGCTGTACTAGTAGAAGTTTTATCTCCATCAATGCAAAGCGCATACCAATACAATGTCGTGGACCTGCTCCAAATGGCAAATAGGCCATTGGATGACGTTTTATTTTATGGCGTTCAGGAAAGAAAACGTATGGATCTTCAGGACCCCAAAGTTCACGATCATAATGAATTGAATAGACATCAGCATGCACTAAGCTACCTTAAAAAAATAAAAGACATGTATTTTAAGAAGACACCATCTGATAAGACTCTCATGAAGTCGATGCTAAAATCGGAAGTACCTTGCCTTCTCACTTCTAATTTTCATACGTAGATGTTCTCATAGTTCCATATAAAATTGTTGTAGATCGAAAGAGAGTTTTTGAACAAGTGAAAAAATTCAAAACGGAAAAACTTTTAGATTATGATACAGTTATTGTAAATCATCTCATACATAAAAGATCGAAGTCTTGGGTACTATAAAAATGTATACTTGCCCTTTTCAATGGTAATTCCTTGTACAACTGTATCTTTGGAGGCACATCTTTGAATGAACATATTTCCAATAGGATACATTCTCAAGACTTCAGAAATGAACATATCCATATAAGGCATCTGCATGACTAAATCATAGTCGGAATATTTTTTTCTTTCCTTATCGAATTCATCATCATTGTTGAAGGGAAGTTGGTTTATTTCATCTTGCAGTTTCTTGACAACTTCTGGATGTCTAGCAAGCTCATATGTTGCATAAGCCAGAGCAGTTGATGTTGTTTCATATCCTGCTGCCATAAAAACAAGGATATTAACGATTGTTTCTTTTCGAGTCAGCCGATAGTTTGCCTTGTCATCGTTTTGCACCTCGTCCTACAAATTAAGTGTATATGTATATAGTTAATAAGGTTATAACTAACTCAAGTTTCTTTGACCGAATGGAAAACTTTTTATTGTTCGCTGTATTTCAACTTAGAGATCGTAATAGAAGTTTCAATGTAATTTTTTTCTATCATTCGAAAATTTTAACAACGCCATGAATATACTGGTACATCTCATTGTACTCAGTTTCCTACGTCAAGTAAAAGGGAAATACTTTGAAAAACTGAGTAATAACACAACCAGACTTTCTGAGAATAAGTGATTTTTTCTTTAAAAGCAATCAAAAGCTCGAAAATTTCTTATCCAGATCTCCATTACAAAAGCACAAAGTAATCACTCTTCAGAAACATAGCAAGTCTGTTCAGCCATACGATATCTCACAATCTCTATTTCTCTGTAGTCTTTTCAACAAGTGATACTTTACTGGAAATTATCGATACTGCTAATATACTCAAAGTAAATTACTATACTAGAAGATACTTTTTAACTTCTATAGATTTAAGTATACTTACGTTGATTTTTTCGTCAGTCATCACTTGTAACATCAGTTGCAAAAGGTCGATTCGTGAAGTAGGTGTCTGCTGTCGCTGCTCGATAATTGGATGTAGTCGACTGAAGAGCCAAATATTTGGTGGTTCATATAGTTGTTTTATTGAGATTAGTGGTAAAAGATATTTATTGATTAATACTCGTGCGATGTTTGCGCCAAAAACGACTTTATTAAGAATATTTGCTACGCGAGGCGTAAGTTCACCAAGTCGGAAGAGCCAACGCGAATTAATACTGTGGGCAAAGAGTTCTTCCACTTTCTTGAAATATATATTGTCTGGATTGTTTTGTAAATCAATGTCAATTCCAAATGCGCATCGGCCTAAAGATCATCAATAATGATAGCTATTAGGATATTATCATAAGAATCCTGAAAGTGACTATAAGATGTGTAGGTATTCTGTTGATCAATAACTACACACTTACATCCTCAAGAAGATAATTGTCATCACTATATTCAATTATATATTTAATGAATTCTGACAAAAATGAAGGAGAGCTCTTTTCGAAATACTTGCAGAGACCATAAAGTCTCAAAAATCCATCAGCAGATTTCACGAATTACAAAAGATGGAAGAGTTTTTTGGACATACTCTGATATAATTTCAAGGCGGTAAAAAGGTCTCAACCATCTTCTATCTTTGCTTGAATAAGATCAATTGTGAAGATATTCATACTATTATAATGTGGCGCAGACGTTTAGCTAACCGACCTTGGACAGCCCTATCAAGCTATAAAACTTTATAGAAGATCTCGAACCTTACGAAGTATAGATTTCTCTTCTTTACCAGCACCCACACTCATCAAGTAAACCGGAGCAAATTCGCAAACTCATTACTAGTACTTACATATCACATCCATTGTCAGTCGCTTATAATATAAGTAGATATTGAATTCATTGCCGTTTTTTACATGAGCGTCTAATTTTTCTATTAGATTATCAATGCACCCATTGATAAGAGGACTCATCATTTTTAATTTCGCGGCAGAGAACGTTGGATTTATGACCTGACGATGCCGACGCCATGGTGTACCCGATGATGAAAATACGTTATGAACACCAATACCTTTGAGAACTTCTCTTCGCCCTTGAAAAGCGGCAAATTGTTTGACAAAAACTTCCTGAAGAAAATCAGGATCGCTAACAACAAAGGTAGGAGTAGTTCCTTGATAAATTCCATATATTTTGCCATATTGCTTTGTCCAACTTTCCAGTTGACGATGAAAAGCCGGAGTATTCCATAAAGTTTTCAGATGTCCAAAGAAGAAATGGAAAGGTGGAGTAGGAATACCACGTCGACTAAAGTATCGATAAAGTTGCTGTAGTAGAAAAAAGTAATAACTCAGAAGACCAATGCAAATGAGAAATAGAACCATAGATAAAGTCGACATTTTATATACGTTTTACCTCAATACTATTGATGAAGAAAATAACGTTAAAGTAAAAAAAAAACGTGGCTTTTTATACACATCGACGACAAACAGACTGCTTTTTTTCATTCTTCGCTCGATGAAGTAAGATATATGGTTGCCAGCGCTAGTTTATTTGATGAATCATATATGTCCTTTTGGTTTCTTCAGGACTTGTAAGAATAGCATACTTTGAGTTCGTTCTGTTTCTTTATTATCTTAAACTTTGATTGAGAAGAAAAGAACACCTAGAGTCTATAATTCATAAGTGCACGAACTCGTCCTTTTCTTTCGCAGTATCTTGAGACGAGACACTTAAACCTTTTATAGTTTCAATGATTATTTATGAAATAACTGCCTTTTATGAACATCGTTGGCACCTGTCAAATTTTATTTTTTTTTCCTTTTTTTTTGCTAGATTGATAGAGCGTTTTATGAAAGAATTTCTACTTTTCTCTTTATTTGTAAAACATTTGTGAAATATCTCTGAGAAATGAAAGAAAATTTTAAAAATGCTCTCCGATTTTTAATTTCTTTTTCTTTTTCCTTATGTCATAGTCTCGAAAACGATAAAAAAATGACGTTTT